GTGGAGGGGGATGGCTAGGGGCAGGTGGGATGTTGGGGGGAGGGGAGGGAGAGGGAGAGGGAGAAGGGATTGACAACTGAAGCAAGCTTGTTCCTAATTTGAACTAATAAAATAAAAAGAAATCTCCCTAGGTAATACTGGGCCTCATCATTTGGGTAAATCACTCCATTGCAGCAGGATGCTCTCCCTTGCTGTAGTGAATATATGCCATAGTAGACACACACCCCACTTCTCAGGGCAAACGGTCTGCCAGTGTATCTCCCAAAGCAGATTTGGTTCCCCATTAATCATTCACTTAAGAGCTTCAGTATCAAATAGGAGATTCTTCTTTGAATTATTTCATTTGGGGTTGAAAAATAGTGATGTAAAAAAGTTCTATTATTCCTTTTGTATTTATCTATAAAGCTATTTCATCAAGTGGGGCTTTTTGGTTATCTTGAACTCCCATTGAAAGGGTAAGATAAAATTAAAAAGGTAAAATAATGCTTAATTCTTTCAAAAAACTTAATATTCAGAATGAGAAGTATTACAATGGGTGATTTTATTTGCATTTTTGTATATTCTTGTTAGCACAAAAATGACAATTTCTATTAAAAAATGAAACCATTATGCTAGGTAGCTGAAAGTAAGTTATTTATACAATAGCTTCTACCATACAACACATCCTTTCTAATGGTCTCACTGTGACTGAAAGAAATAATGAGAGATCCCCCAAAACTGTTCATATTGGCTGTAGCCACACTGCATTCCCATGGCTAAGGAGAGCTCAAGATAAAGTACTTGGCATAACCTTGACACAAGTGGTCCTGATAGCCAGGTTCTACCTTTGAAAAATAAAAACAATTCTATTTATATAATAGTGGTTTATGTCAATTTACAAAAACAGTGCTTACTTTGCAGCCTTAATGCAAGATCAGATGTTATTTTCAGAAAAGAAAAACAGATGATAAGTTTGCTTAAGTGGCTTTGTTTAAAAAAAGGATGAAAACAGTTCTGTGTACTTGATTTTAAAAACAGAAAAGCATTTTAACAGAAACCCACAACAAAACTGACTATAAAGATAGATTCCGATGTAATTATGGAAACTCATTTGAAGAGACTGCTCCTAAAAGCAGCCCATGCTGTCCTCGTTTAGAACAAACAGAAGAACACCAATTTTAAAAACAAGTAAAATTAATGAAAGGGAACCAGATAAGAAAAACACTGATTCTTATATTTCTGAGAAAAAACGATATTCTAATTTCTTTGAGGGAAATGTATGACTAGAAATTAATCTCAATTGGGGAGCTTTACAAAGGCTTCGCTTCTCAGTTCTGGAAGACACAATTTACATTTTTCTCTAGAATTCTGGAACACAGATTTGAAGGCAGTGCAAAGCCCTAGAATGTAAATAAGAATCCTGCCCTCCCCTCTGGCTCAGAGAGGGACAGTGAGCGGGGGAGAGGTTGTCTCAGCAGAAGCCACCACTCCATGAAGCTAAGTGCCTTGGAATCTGGGCCAGCCCCACATGCGGTAGCCTTGCCAATTTCAGTTTCTGTGACATTTAAAAATTAATACTGAAGCCTCTGAAATACTATTGTTCTTTAAAAATACGTCCTATAGAGAGATGAACTATCTTCTGAATGAGAGAGATAAACAAAAGATCTGTTTTCCCAGCCAATATGAAGGAGTCAACAGGAGCAAAGAAAATAGCACTTTGGCAATTAAGCCAACTGAGTCATAGTCCATGTGGGACGGGAAAGAGCCAGGGTTACCAGTGCGCTAACATCTCTAGTTTGCAGCTAAATATATTGGCTAGACATTAACAAGTATATGTTCACACTTTGGGGAAATAGTTGACTACCGCCATTACAGTAAACTCAGCTATGTGCTCTTGATTACAGCTAAGGGAAAACTTCAGATAATTTGATCTGGTGGAGACAAAACCAGCTGACCCAGAATTCTTGCGCCTAGAGGAACAAAAACTCTGGTCAACTGCTGCTCCCAGGCATGACAAGAATGAAGGACAGACAATTAATGGGTGAGATAAGAAAGCAGAAAAAAATGAAGGTTTTTTTAAGGAATTATCCTGACATTGGCTGGCTGTAGACATGTGTGTACACCGGATGACTGGGGAGAAAGGAGTTCACAAATGTAAAACCATAAGAAGGCACAAGATACACCAAAAATGTAGGGGATACAGGAATTCTAAGAGTTGACATAAATCACCAGAGTGAAGGGAAAGAGATGAAGATAAGACAAGCAGTGGAAGCTGAGTCCTCAGAAAAGGGGGAAGAAGAGTAGGAGGAACAGATGAAGTGTCCTTTAGAGTAGGCAAGGCAGAGGCTGAAGACACAGAGGTATCTGAGGTGCACCGACCATGAAGAAGGGGACTCTCACAAGTCACAGAGGTCAGGGGACTGGCTTTTACCTTGTTGGTGAGCAGGTGGCAAACTTGAGGCACATAATCAATGAGACAGCCTCCTCCTGGAAAAGCAGGGATATGAAGAGCTGAAGAGCCTCCGAGGGCACTGAAAGGACAAGAGCATAAGGGACTTGTCTTAGAGCCAAGACAACGTGGGATATGGTACCCCAAGCAGACTTGGCACAGCATCATGGCCTGGCCACCAGCTGACTTGTGTTAATGAGGTTGAGAATATGAGCTACACATTATCACTAAATGTCTGTATTTCAATTCACTTTGTTGCACCGACAGGTTACACATCTTTAAGAACAACTGAAGATAATATCACACAGCAGTATATATTTGTCACTTCTAAGATAATATCACATAGCAGTATATATCTACTACTTCTAACTGGCTCAGGTAAATGTCTTACCAGTGGTAGGTAGACATCATTCAAACAAACTTTTATACTCCTCGTTGTGGTTGTGCCAGTTTAGTGCTGGACAAAGATAAGTTGTTCATCAAACACCTGGCCTGAGCTACAGGGAACTGACAAGCCAGTTCTGGAATTCACCAGGGACAAGAGAAAGAGATGGAAAAAAACAAATCAATAATCACTGACCCAATCATTGATTGTCAGCCTTGATTCTGAAACAGTTGCCAGAACTTTTACACAGGTGAAACTTTTTCCACAGAAATTAAGTGCCCAATGATAAAAAAGAAACAATTCAGAAACTTATAGTATGAATTTCATTTATCACCCTCAATCTTTCCTTTTGCCGTTTTTTTCTTCTTTTCATTTTATTTTAATGTATATGTTGCTATACTTAAATCCCCCTGTAATATTCTGGGAAATAAAATAAAATACCCCAGGCCCTTATTGCTGTGAGTATTTATTGTAGGAGTCCCAGTTCTGATGTTGTGAATGAATGTCAACCATAACTACCTGCAAGCTCCTTTCTAGAGTGTAGGGCAGGGTGACTCAGTCCAGGGCTGTGACACAGGGAACACGTTGAACTCCAAACCCCTACTCTACTGTCTGCAGATTTCTGAAATTAAATTTCCCGGTAAAGATGAATTTTATGTTTGCTTTTGGGAATGAAAAATCCCAACAAACAAAAGGTGGGTGATGCAAGGAGGTCGGAGATGGAGTGGAAATACTCGGCCCTCAAGTTGTTGACTGTGATGAGAACTGAGAACTGACGGTGAGCACAGCAGCCTGTGCTCGGTACACTACTGACATCATCTATGCTTTGCAACTGCCCAGGACTGGGATGACCAGGCCTTCTCTCGCTACTCTTAGCATGGATACCGGGTTAGGTTTAATAGAAACTCCAAAGATGGTCAGGAAAAGCCCCGCAACACCCTGTGAACTGGGGGCAAGATTTCTGTCCTTGCTTCTAACCTACAAGGTACATTGTCCATCAGTTTCTAATGACTCCATTAGGTTAGAAAACCAATCGAGAAGACAATTCTACAGGATAAAAAACAAGAGTTCAATATTTATGCCTTGTGGTTACTGGTTAAATATACATACAATGTAGAAAACTAAAGTAAATATCAAGATCCAGGGTACCCACAGCTTACTCAGAGAAATAATCATTGGTATTACAAAAACTCCAAACTAAGTAAACTAATTTGGACAGTGTCCTGGAATTGATTGACTGCAGTGTGCTTTTGGCTTGTGTAAAACATTATAGGATAGATCTTTAACCATTTGTTAAATTGTTTGAAAGAAAAATAGTGTGAGGCAATCCTCTCAATCTTTCTCCCCTCCCCTGCCTCTCCCTCCCCTTCCTCCATCTATCTCTCTCACATCCTTGTTCTCTCTCTCTGCTTGAATTGTGTCATTCTGAAAAGCAGCCATAAACAAACACTGCTTGTGGTGGTGAAAATGAACAGAGGTATGAAGAAATGTAGAGTCTTGCTGTCAGGCCTGTTTCTCTGATTATCAAGAACCAATGCTTGTTGCTATTCTATCACATCCCTACAACTCATCGAAGAAAGCAAGGCTTGGGGGGGGGGGGGGACACAGGCAATTACCTGAAGCTTTCACAACTAGTCAATGGTCAAGCCAAGATTAGAAGGCAGGTCTATCTGTTTGTCACTAGCGCCCCTGATATTTTTGCTGACATACTTTGCTTCCTAAGAAAAGGATGAATTTAGTAATGAAAGGCTGCAGGGTTGGGAAGAACAGCTGTGTGGCTGCCTAAAGTCCTCGGGTCAAGATGTTGATGGGGAAAGCTCCTGAGACACTCCGATGATCACTAAAGCAGATACTGAGAGGCATGGCTCATCTCCCTTGCACTCACTCATCAGAAGAGCAGCAGGTGAGCCAGCATTTGTCTCCATGTTCACACCTTAGCACTCACCACATCTCAACAACCAGATTTGCTTGATTTTGACCAACTGACCACTCTTGGTATCTACCTTTGAACCACTTAGCTACCTGAAGTTTGTCAGATGTTATGAAACAGAGCTTTAACTGGGCTCATTTTAAAAGGATGCTTGTGATGGGCAGTGGTGGTGTACACCTTTAATCCCAGGACTCAGGAAGCAGAGGCAGCGATCTCTGTGAGTTGAGGCCAGCCCAGTCTACAGAATGAGCTCCAAGACAGCCATGTCTGTTACACAGAGAAAGCCTGTCTCGAAAAATAAAACCATGACAACGACAACAACAAAGATGCTAGCTTCACCACTAGTTTAACTCAGGGGTCTCTTAGTGTGTAAGGAAACATAACCTAAGACCCAGTGTCACACACTGATAAGTACTGTTGATTCATATGCCAATCCCCACCCCATGGGTAAATATTTAACATGCTGGTTAGAGCCTGAATGCTGTTCTGATCATGTGAATAAACAAAGGCTGATACCATGAAATAAAAACACTATTATATTTTCAAGGGTAGAAGGTAGAAGTAATGGCTTGTGAGCTCCAATCATTTGATATTGATGAACTAACAATAACAACAACAATGGACTGAGTACATGGAAAACTGACCCTGTGCAGAAGAGATTCCAGGGCTTGCTCAGAAACTGCCGGGGATAAGGAGCTGGTGTGGAGAGGCAGCACCAACCTTGCAGTGGCTACTGTGGGGCTGAGCTGGGCAAGCTGCTGCCTCAGCGCTCTGCAGTGGCGCACTGAGACAGGTGAGAAGGTGAGGGAGTGCTGTGGGCGTGGCAGGGCCTTGGGCTGAATCTGGGAGAGGGGTGAAGGGGATGCTTTGATGAAGAAGCACCTTCTGAGTCATGGATTAAAATGAAACCTGAAGTTAGGTGCTAATTCTTAGAGACTAAAACTAAATTGGTATGTAAAAATTTGAAAGTCAGAGTTTGAAAATCTCTTCATCCAATACTTAGTGGAACAGAACAAAAGGTAACCAAAAAGGTAATTCCAGCATCTCCTTAACTCTAAAAGATAATCATAGCAACTTTTTCTGATAAAGATTAAAATATTCCTTTCCATGCAAATGAAACTGATAGAGCCTTTTGTGAACTATAGTCAGAATGTCTCTGCTATTCAAGACTTGACTCGGCTGCAGTGTGACAACATAAGGGAATTATTTTGACATGACAAAATGCACGGAGCCAGTCTGTCTGAAAGCCTGAGTGAGGACAATGGGGTCTGACACTGACCCCTGATGAAACAGCAACTCCCAAGTAAAATGAAGAAAACATCATTTAGATGGGAGGCAACCAGAGTGTCGAGGGATTCTTTCCCCTATAGAGTTCTCTCAAGTCAAGTATCTCATCAGCACGACAGAGATAACACTGCTCTTAAACAGATCACCTCTTGTGCATTAAGAGGGTTACATTAAAAACAGGGGTTATACTAATATTCAAACAGCACCAGGCACTCCAAAAGAAAACACTAGAATGGTTCTGAGCTGAGTTTCCATGTCCAGGAGTAAGGACAAGACCGTCAGGGACACCTGGGACAGTCCCTGTGCACTGGGAATGCACTGGACTTGGGTCTGAGGGACAGGGAGCTGTCAGGCTGTCTCCTCCACAGTACAGTTGTGAGAGTGTGGGCAGTTAATGCAGGAAACGGGAATTTTCAGGACCATAACCAGGAGACAGGCTGCCTCTAGCTCCAAGCGGCACTGCCAACAAATATCAACTGTCTGCTTAACAGTTTAAAGGCATCATTTTCCCAAATAAATGTATGACCAGGACATCACAGCAAGGCCTTGTGAGGCAGAGGAATGCAAGGGCGCTCCATGGTATCAGAATGTATTTCCTGGAGGCCTGCCAGGACAGCCGTTATAAGTCACTGATGTTTAATGAGTACCTACTTTGGGCAGGCATTCCATAATATCTAAACACCATTACAACCCTGCCAACCAGATTTAACTAGATTCATTCACAGATGAGAAAAGTGAGATTCAAGGTTTCAGTATGTTATTCAAGAACAGCTACATCACGGACAACTACAATGCTTGAGTCTGTCTTTCTGGTTCCAAAGCCTGTGTCCTGTTTCATTAGGGACTCTTTCACAGAAAGACTTGTCTGTCTTTTGTATGGGTGTTTTGCCTTCATGTTTGTCTGTGTACCAAGTGCATGCCCAGTGCCTGAAGAAGGCTTAGGATTCCCTGGAAGTAGAGTTACAGATGGTTGTGAGCTGTCATGTGGCTGCCGGGAATTAAACCAGGGTCCTCTTGAAGAGCAGCAAGTGCTGAGACATCTCTCTGGCCTCAATACTGAATGCTTTAAAGATTACTCCTTATTTAATCCCAGCACTCAAGAAGCAGAGGCAGGTGGATCTCTGTGAATTTGAGGCCAGACTGACATACAAAGAGTGTTCCAGGACAGCCAGTGCTATAAAGAGAAACCCTGTTTCAGAAAACAAAAACAAAAACAAAAAAAGGTAGGAGGATCTGTACGAATTTGAGGTTAGCCAAGGTTATGTAGTGAGTTATAAGCAAACCTGGGCTACAGTGCAGGGCTTGGTCTCAAAGAACACCCCCTCAAGAAAAGTCTGTTCCTTCCCTATATACTAAGTAACCAAAGCTGTCTGTAATGGCTTTATCCATCAAATTTACCACCTTGTCATCTTACTCCTTCTTAGTTTGAGACACATGTGTCACAGCCAACCTAGTGGAACTTAAAAATCCACATATATAA